AAATAAATAAAATCTTATCTTTAAAAAATAATAATAATAATAGCAGGTTAGCCTTTACCCTAACTCAGTGGTCCTCAAGGTCTGGTCCTCTGACTAGCCCCAATCTTATGTTTTTCATAACATCTACACAGTACCTAATCTGGTTCACAAATAAAGTAACAGTCTGTAATGTGAATATATTAGAATATAGCAAATTATTTGTATGTTTTTATTACCAATATAATCCATACACATTGTAGAAAATTTGTATACAAAAGCAGAAAAGAACAAAAATTAAAAGATAGCTAATCCTACTACCTAGATGTAATTATTGATATTTTCCTGAACTATTCTGTAGGAGATAGTGCTAATTCTTTTGAGTAATCCACAAGCAGGCTGAATTTAAGATACTAATTTACAATATCTTATAATGCTCTCTCACCAAAGCTCAGCTTCTTTTATGTCTTCTGCTTACTCGTAGGTTGTTACCCTCCTACCAGAGGAGAGGTTTATATTCATGGATTTGACATCTCAAAGAACATAATTGAGATTCGAAAAAACTTGGGCTTCTGCCCACAACATGACATGTTGTTTAATGACTTGACACTTTCAGAACACCTTTTTTTCTACTCTGTGGTGAGTCAGAAATGTTTTAAAATTATACAGTAAATTTATTTTTTTTCTTTTGATATATAGACATGTAAAGTTTAACACATTCAGCTAGCACCATAGAATATTTTCATCACCGGAAAACACTCCCTTGTGCTATTCCTTTGAGAATACCATATAAATGGAATCATATAGTATGTAACCTTAAAAGATTAACTACTTAGAGCATAATGCCTTCGAGATCCATCCACACTTGTATGATCATTAGTGTATTTCTTTTAATTGCTGGGTAATATATCATGTTTAGATGTAATACAGTACACCAATTAAAGGACATTTGGGTTGTTTACACTTTGAGTATGAACAAAGCTGTTCTGAATTTCATGTATAAAGTTTTTTGTGTGTAAACATAATTTTTCATTTCTCTCAGAATGAGATTACCGGATCATATTTTACGTTTTTAACTTTATGAGAAACTGCCAAACTGCTTTCTAGAGTGACTATACCATTTTGCAGCCCCACCAGCAGTGTAGGAAAGTTCCAATTGGTTCATATCCTTTCCAGAATTTGGTATTGTAATACTTTTTAACATATTTTTTTTTTGAAAGGGAGACAGAGCACAAGTGGCGGTGGGGGGCAGAAGGAGAGGGAGAGAGAGAAGCTCAAGCAGACTCTGCACTTAGTGCAGAGCTCAACGTGGGGCTCAATCCCATGACCCTGAGATCATGATCTGAGCTGAAATCAAGAGTCAGATGTTTAACCAGCTGAGCCACCCAGACACCCCTATACTTCTTAACATTTTAACGATTCTAATAGATGTGTAGTTGTATATCATCCTGCTTTTAATTTGCATTTCATGAATGGCTAATGGTGTTGATTAACTTTCTTGGGCTTATTTCCCATTTTTATACCCTCTTTGATGAAATATTTGTTCAGGCCCTTTGTCCACTTTTAAAATCTGGGTGGTTCATTTTGTTATTAAATTTTTGAGAGCTCTTTATTCTGGATGTGTGTCCTTTGTTGGATAATGTGCTTTGTAAATATTTTCCCTATTTCTGTAGTTTCTTTTCATTTTCTTGGCAATGCTTTTTACAGAGCAAAAGTGTTTAATACTGAAATCCAATTTATCACATTTTTTATCACATTTTTCTTAAGGAATCCTGCCTTTGCTGTCTTTTCTAGAACTCTGTACCTAACCCCAAGACATGAAGATTTATTCTGTATTTTCTTCTAAATTTTTTTATTTTTACATTACACTTAGATTTGTGGTCCATTTTTGGGTTAGTCTTTGCTTAAAGGTGTAAAATGTAGATCTAGGTTCATTGTTTTGCATATTGATGATCAATTGTTCTAAAACGATTTTTCAAAAATACTGTTCTTTCATTTTGAATTGCTTTTTGCATTGTCAAAGATCAAACGGTCATATTTCTGTGGACTTACTTATCAACTCTCTTTTATGTGCTATTGATCCACACTGCCCTGATTTGTATAGCTTTATAGTAATTCTTAATATGGGATAATGCTATTCATCCAACTATATTCTTTTTCAAAAGTGTTTTAGCTATTATAGCTGTTTGGCTCTTCTAGATAAATTTGTGTATTATCTCTTATGTGTCTACAAAATTCTGCTGTGATTTTGATTGGTATTACATTAAACCTGTATATCACTTTGGAGAAAGTTAACATTGTTACCATGTTGAGATTTCAAATCCTTGATCATGGTATTTCTATTAACTTAAGTCTTTGATATCATCACCATTTTTAGTTTTCACTATACAAGTCCTATATATTTTTTTCATTATTTGGAGCCTTAAAAAGTTGTTCATTTCGGGCGCCTGGGTGGCTCAGATGGTTAAGCGTCTGCCTTCCACTCAGGTCATGATCCCAGGGTCCTGGGATCAAGCCC